TCTCTGTGAAGCCGGCATCTTGGAATATACACCGGAGGCTGTCTGTGGGGACATAAACCGGGCAGGTGAGCAGGGGTGTAGAGGACAGGATTGGGTACTAGCCCTGGAAATAGTTTATGAGCTCTCTCGTGGTGCTCACTGTAGTCCAAGAGTTAGAAGCTGTTATCCGGAACCCAGCGGTGCCCCTGTGATTTCTTCATAGTGTCGTTCCCATGTGAAGAGCTAACACCCCCAGGGACTTCATTCAAACTGCTGGTGAGCAAGGCGGAGAAAAGCAATAGCTGTGGGAAAAGTGCGGGGAACCCAAACCAAATTCCTAGTGCTGAGCAGGATTCCTGTACGCACCAAAATATCGCCTGCTCCCAGGCTTAAAACAGATGGGAGAGGAGTGCCCCTTGGGGATCATCCGAGCTACACACCGCGTCTCAGGGGTTACAACCACCAGCAGGCTCAGCAGAGAGGCCGAGCATTAAACGAGGCATGGGACTGTCCTCGCTGCACCTGGTCGTTAGATCGTTAGACACGCTGAGAGTTCTGTTGAGTTTCAGAGCTGCTGTTGCACAGTTAAACGCCGTTTGGTTTTCCTTCGTAACACGACCACCCTGTGCTCACCCTGTTACCGAACTGGCCTGTCCCACGTATCACATATAGAGCAATACTGGAACCAGGGCTCAAGCATACATGACTTACCCCACTGCGGCAAGGCAATATAAACTGCTATGGGACTCGGGCTACTTCTATTGTACCAGCGCCGGAGGAATTCGGCTCCAATTCGAACAGCTCCCGTCCCTCCTACTGTGTGAACACCACCTGCCTGACTTACATGGAGACAAGAGAGCATCATCTATTACATCACCGGCCTGTTAGACCAAATGTCTCAGGGCTGCTGCATCTCTAGTAAACTAGAACACGATCCCCCCAGAACAAGGCATTACTGGAAATATCTGCGAGAGACAAGCTATAATGACACCACCTGAGGGCATGCAGTGCTGCGCAGGGCTTTGAAGAATATCCCTTCGTACACGGGCCCCCGTCCCACGCATTCAAACTAGCCTATTCTGGACCCTACCACCGCCTCATGCGGGACATAGACCATGCTTCTGCAATTCGACAGGGACAATGTACATCCTCCGCCAGGAAGCCAAACTAGACAGAAAAGCCCTACCCTGGCTGGCAGCTTCTGTCCTTAGAGCATCTCTTGCACTGAGGACCCCTCACAAAGGATGCAGACAGCAGAAAGGAGGGGGGGGGGGAGAAATAGTTTCACAAAAATTGCCATGATTTTCAATGTTGTTTTTTATCTCAGTTGGAGGGAGATTTTCCAATCAGAACTGGTTTTGTAGGAAATGGTGGTTTTCCAGTTGTGTCAATGAGCCTAGAGTCTAGGAGAGGTGTTTTTAAAACTGTAGATAACTCAGAATAATCATTTTTACCCACCATTGAAACACAGAGACCTTTTCCTTAGCAATGTTGGTCTGGTTGTGCCTGAAAGCCCCATTGTGCTAGGTGACACACGAAGAAACCGTGAGATAGAGACTCGCCTCTGCAGACCTTACAGTCGACACAGATACCGAAGGATTATTGGCCTATTTTACAGATGGGGAATTAAGGCACAGAATGATGCAATAACTTTTCACAGGTAGTCTGTAACAGAGCTGGGAATCAAACCCAGGTCTCCCGAGGGCCAGGCCAGCACCACCACCAGAAGGCCAGCCTTCCAGGACAATAACTAACTAGACCACAGTTAGATAGTGGACATTCTGTCCAACTGCACACTGGCACTCCTCTCTCCCCAGGTCTTACAAAAAGAGTCCCGGGGTCTTTAAAGTCCATGCAAAGCTGCCTGGAGATGACAGCACAGTGGATATTTTTCTGGAGGCAATTTGACTGTTGGTTAGACTAAGGGCTTAGGAATCAGGAAACCAACAGTTGAATTAAAGGGTTGCATCTGGGTTACCGGGGCTGGTGTCTGAGAGACAGGCACGCAGCTAATGGCGGGAACTGGCTATGCTCCCTGGTGGAGTTGTTGCCCTGGTCTATGGTAGCTCCAGCCAGATCTGCCATTGCCCAGTATAACTGCACCCACTCTAGGGATCTGTATGGTTGTAACCATATTGGTTACTCACTGACACTTAGAGTGGTACAAAAACCTGTGTGTGGACTGGCCCTAGCAGAGGGGGGATGGGGCTAGATGGGGCAGGCTGGTTCCAAGAGGCTTGATGAAGTCATCATAAGTTACCATAAGAAGTACTGAGCAGGGGCTCAGAAGATTTAAGGCATGGGGCCCATGGGGTTTGCCTGTCTGTAGAGGGTGGGGGAGAGCTGGGTGGTTTCTCTTGCGGGTGGGGTGGGGGGTCTTTCCAAACTCAAAGATTTCAGCATCCAGCAGCAGCTTGCAGAGTCCATACCCTGTTCTCAATCACAGCACGGCTCTCCCTGCCAAGCGCCAGCTCGGTAGCTGCCCTGGTGAACTCAGGGAACCCAAGCACTGGGAGGTACTCGTGGTCCAGGGTTGGGTCGTTGGCGATCTGCAGCAGGATTTGTCTCACGGTTGGGCAGACCCATACTTTGCCAGTTTCAGTCTGGCAGTCTGCAAGAAGAAAGAGCGGGCCAAGCTGTCCATGGGTGACAGGTGCCTCACCGTCCCAGACACACACGGTTTGCTAGTTTTTTTTTAAAAATCCTTTCCTTTAAGTAAAATTCTACATGACCCGACTGCTGCTGGGAGGTGCATGTCTGCAGCACTGCACACTTGTGGCCTTTGCTTAGCCGCCAAGAAGGTACCCAGACAGCAGCAGTTCCAGCTTCTCCTTTTCCCACATATGCACTAGAGAATCTCAACCCCCAACCCACAGGTACCAGGGTTTGTGAGCACAGGCATCCATGGCTCCTCTGACAATGGTTAATGCCTGATCGCACTAGTGGCAACCGGCAGTGACTGCAGAGATAGCAGGACAAGGTACCCATGACCAGCAGCAGGTCCTCACTGGCAGGACTCCGCAGGTCTACAAGCAATAACTTATTTCATTGCATTTTTAAGGGGGCTTTTTCTTTAACAAGAGAAAACCACTTGTGACTGCCCTACCTGCCAGAGACATTTGCAATCCTTACAGCATGGCCAGAATCAGACAAGGGGCTGTACAAGAAGTCACCTTCCTACACTGCCTCTCTGCCCCATCTGTACATGGGCTTCATCACTGCTGACTTCACAGCTGCAGGAGCATGAGTTGGGGCCTATTTTAATTCATGCCTCCTCCTGATTGTCATTATGGCTGGTGATGGTGTCACAGGCAGAAGGGTGACACCCCCAGGGAGGTTTTGTCACCTTGGTTGTTAACATACTGTGCATGAAATCCTGAACCCCATTAAAGTCAACAGCAAAACTCCCATTGATTTCAACAGGGCCAGGATTTCACCCCTCTGTTCAGTAAAGCAAGCAAATGTGATCCAGCCACAGCAGAGAGAAAAGAAACCCAGACTCCCATGGCAGGACTTAGCTCCAGCCCATTAGAGCCGGAAATCTTACTCAGGGTCTGTCTACACTGCAAGCTGGGGGTGTAATTCCTAGCTCTCAAGCTAACGTGTTAAAAACAGAATGTGGCCATGGCAGCATGAGGGACTAGCTGCCCCAAGCATGTCCCCAGCTGAGATGAGGGGCAGCTCACCCCTGCTGCCAGTCACACTGCTGTGCATGGCAGCTTGATCAGAGCTAGCATGGTTATGCCTCCTTAAGCCGGAATTTACAATGCCCTTAGAAGAGGCGTGGTGCTGTGAATGCTGACTACAGACCCATGTTTTAGGCTCCCCTGCAGTCAGATGACATTCTGTGCCCGGTGGGGAAAAGATTGCAGCCCAGAGTGTGTGGCAGCCAACCAGCAGGACCTACCCCAGTGGTCAAGGTACACCTTGTCTGGGGATGGATCCTCCTGGTAGGCATCCAGGAGCCGGTCCGCTTCCCTCATGAGCGGGACATCAAGGAAGAGAGAGAGAGCGGCCATGGCCCAACATCGGCAAGAGGACCCTGCAGGTTTCACGCTGGTCCTTCGCTTGCACCCAAAGGGTCACTCAGCTGCCCCCAGGAGAACCCCAGGCTCTGCCCGGCAATGGAATGTTGGGACAGGAGTTGCCCAGGAAACAGCTGTTCCGAGTGGGCCCAGGCAGAATGGGTGCGATCCAGGAAGGTGCCTTGGTGCCGAAGTCCCATCGTTAGGTACCTCTGTGATCCACTGATCTGCTCGGCTGCTGCCTCAGCTCACTCAGCACCTGTGTTTTTTCCTTGGGGCATGCACGCTGCTGCAGCCTGCTAGGTGCCAGACTCCTGCCTCCTACCCCAGCCCTAGCCCAAGTCACAAGCCAGGAAAGATGGGAGTTCGTCTGCCTATGTGGCATGCAGGGGCCCAATCCAGCAGGCAAGCTCAGAGACCACCTGAGGCCCACGCATTGGGGCCCTCAGACAAGTTCACACAAAACAGCCAGGGGAGGGAGGAGCCACGGCTCTCTATAACTGTTAGAATGGTGAATAGGGCACTCCCCCATGCAATGGGAGACCCCCCAGTTCAAGTCCCCTCTTCTCCTGTGGGGGAGAAGGGATTTGAACAGGCTCTGTCACCTTTCAAGTGAGCAGCCACGCACTGGCCTCGGGACTATTCTGAACGGGGAAGCAGACATTAAAGAAAGTGCAAGTTCGGAGGAGAGGCATTAGGCAGCTGAAGTATTGACATTGCATTTAAGTCACAATGCTAGACCCAGCTTCCCCTGCTACCCTAGCGGAGATGCAATATGAAGTTCTTGCAGTTTAGGGAGGATTCTACCCCACCCCCACCACACCTAGTGCCCGCATCCTCCTCGCAGTCCCCACATCCTCCTCACTGGGTCGTGGAAGGGGGCAGTCTCCTTGCTGCTGATTAAGGAAGGTCTAGGCAAAGGTTGCTGGGCGGGTGCACAGCTGGACACATTCCAGAACAGAGCCATTTAGGGAACAAAGGAAGTTTAATGAGTAAAAGAAGAGGCCACTGGAGGTGAGGAGATGCAGCAGTTTTACCGCAGCAGAGATAAACCATCCCAGGGCGGTACAGCCTGGCTTAGAGTCTGAAGTTTTCCAGGGGCAGAGTCCTGCTGGTACAATCCACACACACTGCGGGAGGGGGCTGGACAGCTTCAGCAGACCTGTCCTGGGAGGAAAGCAGAGCATTAAGGCAGAACTCACTCTGCAGCAGGGCCACGAGCCAGCTCAGAAGCAAGGCAGGCGAAGGACAATGATGCCTCCAGCTGCACACCCTCCAAAATGGGAGAGCCAGAAGAGGACCATTGGATTAGGTGCCTGCCCAGACCAATGCAGGAGTTCCTCCTGTCATGCCGGGCTCTTTTACCCTCCCTAACCCTGTCACACCTCCTCCTGGAACCTGCCCTGATTGAAGGGCCAGATTTTCAGAAGGAGCTCAGCACCCAACACACGCTGTCTTTCCAAAAGGACGCGGCAAAGCCAGCCACTTATTTTGAGGAATAAATGGGAGCTTTGGAAAGTCTAACATTCCAACCAGCATCCAAAGGAAGCCTGCAGCTGGTAGGACAAAGTAGCTGGAGCGTTCCAAACCGGTGAGCTGTTCCAGTGGTGGGACTAGCAGCGGCCCACTGTTTAGAGCGTACGAAGGCATAGGAAGGGGCACAACTAGGAGGCAAGGAAATGAAACTAAAGGGAAATGCAGAGTGTTCCCCCCATAACGAGATGCCTCCTAAGCCCAGTGCTGGAAGCCCAGTCATTTGGGATAGTTAAGAAGTGGACTGGACGCAGCACGAGAAGCTGTGTTGTAGGAATAATCCTGTATTAGATGGAACCTAGTTGGCCCTTCCCAAGTCCTAGATTTCCACGAATCACTGGCACATCCTGACCCATGGATCTATTGCTGCCATAGTAGAAAGGCATTAAACACACTGGAGAGGGGCTTGACTGGACCATTATACCTGGAGCAAACATTTCAGAGACCTAACAGGAAAGAGACCAAAGAGGTTAGCCATCTAAAAGCAATGTTGTTGCCCAACATTAGAAGCTGTTGCTGGAGCAGAGGTGTGTCATTTTCATTACCTGTCCATGGAATCAAAGATATTTACAGCTTCTCCTTAGTGTCGCATGAAAGAAAGAAAGAAAAAGTGTTGATCAGAGTATCTCAGATTGGAATGAGAACAAAAAGCAAGTTCTTGGAAAGAGGTTAAAACTACTTTGAAAAGCTGGGAGATTGTTAATTTTTTCCTCTTATTTACACCAAATACAAAACAAACCATATTGAAGTCAGCTAGAATTAAATTTAGTTACTGTATCTTCTTCCACTACCGCCAAAGATAACGACTCCTCTGCTAGCCATCCTCCTCTGGCTTCGCATTTGGCATCATCTTCCACTGGAAAGAAGGGAGAATTGCAACGTTACAGGCAACAAAAACCTCCACCACCAATGTCCGTTGTTTCTTTAGGGTGCTGTGCCAAATTACTTCAGGTCATTCACAAAAAGCAGGTGATTGTAGAGGATCCCCTATTTTGCACACAAGGAGACCTTAGGTTTGGTTGCAAATTTGCAGCTCAAGGAATACATTGTGTAAACACACACACCCCCCTGTAGGGAACTACACCGAGACTTCTGTGCCAGGAAGATGGACAGCGGAGGAAGAGGAAAAGGGAAAGCTACAGCCAGTGAAAGAGGATAGCAGCAGAGGAGTGGGGAGAGCTGCAGACTTTTATGGATCATTTCTCTTTTATAATACCTCCAGAGCACTTCATAAAGATGAACAGATCAAGTCTCAACACCTCTGCTAGGCCATTCTTCACTCTTCGTCGCAGATTGCGAAGCTCAGGGAGACACAGTGACTTGCTCAAGGCCACAGACAAGTCAGTGTCAGAGGTGCGAATAGATTCCAGGAGGCCTGGCTCCCAGTGCTGTGATTTGACCCCCCAAACAAACAAACACTCCTTCCATTTAAGCAGTGCCGGCACTTGGAGGACCAGTTTTACTCACAGATCAGATGTTGTCCATTGAGATAAACCGGCCCAGTTCCAGACTTTAATTCAAAGGCAACAGGAGGGATAAATTCAAAGCCACCAAGACTGATCTGAAACAAAACAATTAAAAAAAAATCCAGAATCACTGAAATATTGAGAAGAAAATCTGGCTCGGGAGCGACTCAGTGAACTTGAAGCAGCGCCAGCTGGTGGGGGCATTCCAGAGCAAATGGACTTTACATGGACCCCCCCGGTCACTACACATTCTTTAAGAAGCACCTGCTGATGCTCAAGCCAAGCTCTGCCCTCAGTTACACCCACAACTGCACTGACATCAGTGGGGTCCCACAGGTGTAACCGAGGGCAAAGTTTGGAGGCAGACACCCCCCCCCCCACACACACACACACAGTACAGTAGGTGTGGATGGCATGCGGCGGATGCACGGATGCCACAGCCAAACTGCACAGCACAGAGACTATGCTTTCAGCACCCTGCAGATATGGCCAGGTGACTGGATCAGGCTCAGAGTTTGTTTTCCTGGCTGAGTTAGTAGATGTGTTAAATTTTGTCTTCATAAGAAGACAGATAAGTTACACTTATTTGACTCGCCACTGGCGGATATGGAGAGCAGAGCAGGAAGACATGGGATTTCTGGCCTGCTTTTTCTCCTGGCAGGGGGAGCTGCACTAGGTGGTGTTCTCTGAATTCCAGTGCATGTCTCAGCTAATCGTTAGCATAAGGACTCCGGTCCATGGGTGGCAGCTTGCAGCAGGTGTGTATTCAGAGCAGTTCCTAAACAATCAAGTAACTTATCGCACAGAGATGTTTTAATTCCAAAGACAGTATTACCTTTCACTGAACTCCGTGCTTAGCTCCAAGCATCTGCTTCATACATGGGTCTCGTTAGACAGCAAAATGTATATAGGTCCTTACTCCCATCATGAGCTGGGAAGATCTCTAGCAATTTACAAATACAACCCAGCCAGCCAAAGACAATACATCCAATTTCAGTGGCTGACCAGAAAAGCGAAGCAGGCCAGGGGATGGGAGGTAGCCCCAAAGAAGAGCACAGTTGCTCTTTTTGAAAGTTAGCCCAGTCCTTTGTTAAATCAGGACGAGCGCTATCAATGAGTCCTTGAGTAAAACAAAAACAGATGTTTCTAGTCAAGATCGGATTGTGTCCTATTTACAGGGATGCGCTTTTTAATTTTAAGCTTTGATTTGTCTCTGGACTTCTGTCTTTCTACTCTTTGGTCAGTTTTAGATCCTAAGGCCAGAAGAGACTATTTGTGATCCTCTAGTCTGACCTCCTGCATAACAATAATAGATCGTCTCTGCCATGCATGTTGGTCTGCACAATGGGAGAGGAGCATTCACAAATTAACCTGCACAGCAACTTTGTGGGACAAGTAACTTCTGTGTGTTGTACATGTGGAAAGCTTGCTCAGAGCTGACTTTCAGAGGTTGCAGCTCCCATAGGATGCTCTGTCCCAAATATGGACTAAGTGACTTGACCAGGGCTACAGAGAATCACCATTAGAGCTGAGATGCACCTGGTTCCTAGCCTGAGTGCTAACCTGCCCCACTGGCTCTCAGTCACTATAGCTGGGGTGTTAACATTTCGTCTGAGGTTGAACGGACCATAATGTGTACAGTGGAATGCTACGCCAGGCAAAGGAGAGAGAAACAATCCGCTCGTTCATCCGAGAGGGCATGTGCATACACTGTAATTCCCCCAGATTAGTTGCTTGCTGGGCAGAGATTGTTCTGGGGGTTGTCGTGTCAATCTCTTGGCTTCATGCAGCAGGTTTCCCCCAGGAGTTACCATGGGTAGGACAGAGAGTCTCAGTGAAGCGATGGGCACTGGCCTGTTGCCACCGTAGGTGTTTTTTGAAGCTACTGCCACCACGTGCGGTTCATCCTCGGCCTCTGCACTGAGACAGATCTACAGCAGTGGAATGAAATGGATCCTCATGAAGCTGGGTTTGCTGTGGACTAATCCCCATGCAGCCAGCCAGCCTGCCTCCCTGCCCGTCCAGTGTGCCCTGAGCAGCGTCAGTGCCATCCCCCATTGCCAGCTGGCAAAAACTGGCAGCAATCCCCACATTCACTGAGCCAGTTCCCCTCCAACATGCCACGGCACAGGCCACACCCAGGCAGCGTTTAAAGGTGTTATTTAAATGTTTGCTTGGGATTTCGGAGCTGATTAAAGTCCTGGGGGCTGAAACCCTCTCTTCTGCCTGGGCAGGGGGAGCAAGTCTCCCCCAGGATTGCTCCCTCCCCAGAGTGCTTTCACCCTGACCTGAAGAGACCCAGGAAAGGAAAACATAGTCTGTGTTCAGAGCATGGCACCTTTGCTGGGCTTGGGGTCAAGGCCATGAATGCTTGAGAGATCAGCAGAGCTCCCCACCCAGCAGTGCTCCTCTCAGACTGACCCTCAAGCCTCGTCTGCATGGGAGAGTGGCACCAGTGTAACCCAAGGTGAGAATTTCAACCAATGTCAGAGGGGATCCCCGACAAGTTACATGGCTTACAGTTTTCAGTAAGACCAGGTGTTCCAAGAAGTCATCTTCTTCCATCACCACACACCTCCTGGTGCTGGTGTTCAGCTCACAGCCTATGGGAAAAACACAGCTGGATTTGTGGGGGCATCACTGCCCCCAAACAAACCCTGCAAGATACAAGAAGAAAAACTGCAGCTGCTAATGGAAATTCTAGAGCAAAGAAATCCCTCTAGTCCCAGAACACACACATGCCACAGGTCAGAGACATAGACAGGCATTTCCCATGGGCAGAAACTTTAAGGCCAGAAGGAACAATTGTGATAATCTAGTCTGACCTCCCAGAGAACACAGACCAGAGAAATCCACCCAGGAATCCCTGCATCCAGCCCAGTGGTTTGGCTGGACTGGAGCCTATCATAATACGGTTTGTTGTGTGGAGTGAGGTTCGCCTCTAACTCTGCTCTGAAAGGTTATTGACTCCTTATGGGCTGTATTCCCAACACCCCAACTTGCAAAATACAAGCTGGAGTATTGGAAAGAGTCAATAGCTCTTTGTATTCCCCTCCCTAGCAGTTGCAATCCTAACGGACCTTCATACATAGATACGCCAGTCAAGAGCTTAATGAGGACACCATGTATCCTGTGCTTTGGTTTTCATCATTTCATTCAGCCCAAGCCAAAGAAAACAAGTAGGATTTAAGGCTGGATTTAAGAAGCTGGAATGAAGTTAGCAGCACTGATCCTGGGAAGCTAAGTGCTGCAGATGCCAGAAGCACTGTACAGCAGCTAAAGGCAGGGCTAAAACTGAATCCTCAGGAGGCCAGTAGAGTTCAAGGAGCAGCTAAGCACGTACTTAGGCAGTAAGTCAACAAGAGCCACCAAGCCAATATTGCGCACTGCTTGGAGACTTGAAGAAAGGAAATGCGGGGGTGGGGGAAACTTATATTTGTAGCATGACTGCATATGCAATGCTCACGCCTAATCACAGGGGCTGGTGCTCTCCTTCAGCACAGATGGGTAGTTTGCTCAGAGGCTAGCAGGGAAGGCACGTCCTGCTCTGATCACAATGTGGCATGGTAGGGCCCAGGCCCCACTTGGAAGAGGTAAGGGGGAAATGCAGTCTACGCCATTGGATGGAAATTATCCACTGCCCTTAGGGCGGGGAAAATTCACACCCACCCCTTTTATTAGATCATCCTGTGGCAGTATTTCTGCAACCTCTTCACCAGGGACCCCACCTGCTGCCCATCAACTCCTCCCCCGTTTTGCTGGCAGATACCAGCCACACAAACAGCTCTGTGAACCCAGGGAACACGTCATCTTGCTCACCCCTTCGCAGTTGTACCCTTACCCCACAAGACAGCAACGGGTTTCTCTTCTTCAGAGCGCGGACTCAGGAGTAGGAGAGATGAACTCATTCTGCTCTAGAATGGACTCCACCTGGGCACCAAACAGCGCCTACAGGAATGAACATGGCAGATCGGGCAAAATGCATCTTTTTGTTACCAAACCAAGAGCGGGAGCAGGAAGAAAAATAAGCGACTGAAGCTCTTCAAGTTTCCTGTATTGCACTGAAGTCACTGAGCCAGTGAGGAGCGTTACAGAGATATTTTTTTCCATATTAGAGGGTTTTTAAAGAGTAGTTTGCTCATGCATCTGTAATAAAGACGCAGCTTGAGATGCTATTCTTGCCATTTTATATTTTTCGAATAACAAAATCCCTCCCTCTCCCCACGCCAATCACCTTGGTCAGGTGGAACAAGTAGTTTGCTCTGCCTGGGCTAGTAAAGTTTTCATGATGATTTTACAAACCTGAATTAAGCAGGGAGATCTGAAAAGTCAGGACACTGAAGAGAACAACTCCTCCCTTTCGCAGGCCAGACTGGTACTTGAGATCTTCAGGGGAACTAAAGACAACAGATTTAACAGAAGAGGTTGGGATCACTCTCTCAACATGGACTCATTTGAACTGCCCAGAACCTACCAGTATTTCTGAAGCCTCTAGAATACAGCTCAGCACTTACACTGGACTTTATACCCTCCCAGCATGGAGCTAGCCATAGCTACTGAATCTACATTACTCTAACTGACCCGGGGGGTGGGGGGAGCCCAGGTCAGGTGCTGGGACTTCAACTACCAAAGGAAGAGACAATCTAGGACAATTTGAGAATATCAGACACAGATAACCACATGGATTTCATCCCCTGACATTGTCAGAATTAGGATGGAAAGCATTCTCTAAACCCTAAGTTTGTAAAAAGCTTGCTCCATGAATATGCTCACAATCAAGATTTGCAAAAAGAAAAGGAGTACTTGTGGCAATCAAGATTAGCTCCCTCCTAAGCTAAGGGGGGAAAAGAACTGGGCTGTCCTGGGCCAATTACAAATGAAGGGTGGATGAGATGGGGAGCTAGCTAAGTAATAGAGTGACAGGAAATACAGATGAAAGTCACACGCCCTGTGAGCACACCTGTCTGTGGGTGAAATTAATCATACATCGCTCGCCAGCATTCCTTGCTCTAGTGCAGCAGGGAGGGCCTTAGGGCCTGCACCTCTCACCACATCTGGCATTGTTGCTTGCCTGAATCTTGCCTGCCCCCTGCCCGAGCCCTGCTGCCCCCATAAACCCACTGAAGTCAATGGAACTTCTCAGAGTACATAAAGTTAAGCATATGCATAAATGTTTGCAATGACACAGGGGCCTGACACAAAACCCACTGAAGTCAATGGTAATCTTTCCACTGACTTCCTTGGGCTTGGGATCAGTTCCCAATAGCAGTAGCTTCTAAAACATCTAGAATGTCTCTATTATAATAAATAATAAACAGAACTGACACACATTGCAGGGTGATTGATTTCACCCATGTCTCTAAAGAGCTTCCTCAGTCTCCCCATACTGAGGTCAGAAACTCAGAGACATTGGTTTGATCCTTGGGGCTTGCTAAGAAGTTTTATTGTTGCAGTTGTGGTAGGTTCAGATCCTCAGCTGGTGTCAATCAGCATCACTCCATTGGTTTCAGTGGAGTGACACCAGCTGAGGATTAGGCCCTTAGAGAGGTGGTGAGGTTTCTTACATTCTGAAGTTCATGATCAGGTTTTTGGGATGAATTATTAGAAGCTGTTTCTAAATGAGTCAGTAAAGGTGATTCTGAATAACACCCCAGGAACTCTGCAGAAGCACTGAATTGACTGAAGGGGGAAAAGCAGGTGAATTTGAATGTTTGAACTTAAAACTAAAAATAAAATTGAACCTGTTGTTCCCATTCTTTGTATTTGTTGTTTGCCAATTTCACACTTGCAAAATATTAAAAATAAAATATGCCAAGAAACAAACAATGACAGTTAAAAACAAACACTGCTCATTATCCACATTAAAATTCACAGATCAGTCCAGCTGGTTCTCTAGTAAAACTCCCAGGTTTGGTGTGGTGGTGTTCTTCCCTTGTGCCAGTAGGTGGTGCTGGGAATCTCCGCATTGCTTTCTTAAAAGGGGAGACATTGCTTTTTGAGCTGCCTGCACTAACTATAGAAGCATAAAGATGAAGGGCTGGGACCTCAAGAGATTACCTAGTCCATCCTCCGGCATGGAGGCAGGACCAAGTATACCTAGCCCATCCCTGACAGGTGTCTGTCTCACCTGTTCTTAAAAACCTCCAGTGATGGTGATTCCACAACCTCCCTCAGTAACTGATTCCAGCACTTCATTATCTTTAGAGTTAGCAAGTTTTTCCTAAACTCTAACCTGAATCTCCTTTGCTGCAGATTACGCCGATTGCTACTTGACCTACCCTTGGTGGACATGGAGACCAGGTGAAATACAGCCCCATGGAAGCTACCAACAATGTCATGAATGACCAGCATTGTCCAGCTAATACCTTCGGAATGCTTGCTAGAAGCAGCATGCTAAAGAACCTCCCTGCTGAACTGACCTGTACCCACCTCTGCTTTGGATTTCTCTCCCCTTTTTTATTCATTGCTATGAACATTTGTATGGCAAGAGGATTTTTACTGCTAACAAGCTCATTGCTTTTCAGGGCAGGCTCATCCCACAGCAAATCCCACAGTAACTCCAAATTCTCCATGCTTTGATTGTTGGAGGCTGTAGGATTTTTGGCAAGTTTTGTTTATAAGGGTCTCCTTTCATCTTGGCCCCAGCAGTAGGAGCGAGCTTATTACCCCACTTCCATGCACATTGGCCAAGGTTTCTTTTGCCTATTCAACATCTGCTCCTCAGGCTTTCCCCCCCATCTAACGTCTCAAATAATCTTTTGTTTGTGGCATTGCTTCCAGTTGCTGTGGAAATCGTTATAACTGCCTGTTCTCTCCTAGCTATAGGAAGTGTTTATTTTTCCTGGGCTGATCTGAGGTCCCAGGAGAAGGAAAACTCTGATGTCAAACCCAGAGCATCAGGCCTGGCCCAGCAGTTTGTTAAAGTTGTGCTGATCACACATGCTCTATGGGTCTGCGCTACCAACCCTGGCTAACGAAGGCAAAGTAAGTATTAATCTGGGGTCTCCAGCACACGTTTAAGCACTTGTCAAAATCTTAAAGCCTAATGGGAAACGGTGGTCTGTGGCCTGGAAATACATCCATGCACACAGCTCTGTTGATTTCACATGAGCCCAAGCATGCTGCACTCTAGTGCAAAGCATGGAACTCTCTAGACTGCTTTACTACGGAGCCTCCTGGGGTTGCAACCACTGCTCATGGAAATTTCTCTGGGCCAAAAGGGGCTGCCTGCCCTGAAGGGTGAATTCCATTGAATAACACTGAGTTCCTGGAGAAAGCTCCTCCTTTACTGCAAAATGGGGAGCTGGTTTCAAAGGTATAAATGAATTCGGTGCCCAGTTCCCACTGAAAGCTTGTCTACACTTGAAATGCTACAGCAGGACTGCTGTCACGCTTCAGTGTAGACACTATCTACTGGAGGGGTTCTCCCCTTGGCGTAGGTACTCCACCTCCCCAAGAGGTGGTAGCTAGGTCAACGGACGAATTCTCACCTCAGAACGATGTGGTTATGCCACTGTCAATTCCCAGTGTAAACCAGCCCTGAGAATTGGGTGTTGAACTGCCCTTTGTGCCTTGGAAAATCTCCCTTTTCCAGGGCTGGCACTTGTGTCCTCTTGCACTGGACCGCTGTACTCACCATCTCTCTGCTTACCTGTTGAATCCCATATCTGGTATCAGCGAAGCCACCCTAGGAGACAGAAATAGGGCTACTTCAGTGGAATCTAACCATTGGAGCCACATTGTTCCCAAAGCGTAGACCGCTCCAAAGCCAGCTCTGAGAAGAACCGCAGACGGTTCTTTCTGTACAAAAGAAACACCTCAATACTCACAGGGTTTTAGGTGTATATATATTTATTTACAAGTGACTGTTGGGAACTTTTGAAGGCTTATTTCACATGGGGGGAAAATGACAATCACCATCATATTTACAACAAAAAAAATCCCAGAGAAAGATATAACAAGCTAGCAGGGTATATGCACACCACCATAACTACAAGGGCACATTTGTACATAATGCTATTTACACTGGATAATGTGTACAGTGTCTATGTAGCTATCATGCAGCCTGGACTCCAAGGGTTTGATTCTCATTTACACTAAGACCACTTTTCCCCACTCCAGCAGTGTAAAGGAGCCTTCAAGTGAGAATAAATTAGCCACTCTCCGGCTCCTTTCCATGATTACAGCATTGTACCATGGCCAGAGTGAGACTCAGACCCCAAATGCATACCCTGCTACTGCTTCAAGGAACTACAGACCTTTCAGCGCCGTGATTTTGGCACGTACAGTAGAACCTCAGAGTTACGAACACCTCGGGAATGGAGGTTATGGTTCTTCTTTCAAAAGTTTACAACTGAACATTGATTTCATACAGCTTTGAAACTTTCCTATGCAGAAGTAAAATGCTGCTTTACATTTAACACAGCACTGTACTGTACTGTATTTGCTTTTTTTGTCTCTGCTGCTCCCTGATTGTGCCCTACCAGTTCCAAAGAGGGTGTGTGGTTGGCCAGTGAGTTCATAACTCTGAGGTTCTCCTGGATTTACATCCAGGGGCACAGCTGGTATATATACAGCTATTCTCAGAGATCTGCCATCACAGCTTGGGGCTTGGGCCTGAAGATAGAGCTAGGGTGCAGCTTTTCTGCCTCGGGGCCTGCACCTGTTGGCCTCCATGGGAGCTGGAATAGGCCCCGCTGCCCTGATTTTCAAAGGTGCCGAGTATCTGTAGTTCCCACTCAACTGGCTGGGAGTTGTGGGCACTCAAAGCCTCTAAAGAAAGGCCCTTAGGCCCAGCTCCACAAAGGTATTTAGGCTCCTAACTCCCATTGGTTTCAGTAGAAGTTAGGTGACTAAATCCCTTTGGGGATCTGAGCCTTAGAGATTGCAGGACCCATCTCAGAAACCAAGAGTAATATGTGGAGCCCTATTGGCCCAATCCTACAAGGTGCTCTCTCCCAGGTGCTCCATGCCTGGCCGGGTCCAGCCCCAGGTGCACAGAACATAATGTAGTTACCACTTTATTGTGGGATTGTTTCAGGGGTCCAGAGATTAGCTGGACTGCTGTTCCCTGTCCAAGTTTATCTCCATTGCTGAGTGTGTACTAGCAAGGATAATACTTTTCATTCTGGAGAATCCTAAAATGTTTTGCTAACTGTATATACACAACACAGCTCAAGTGCAGCTGCCTCTGGGGTGGAGGGCTATAGCCAACAGGTACATATCACACTGCACAGGTGGAGGAGGTGGGGGAGTCTGGCCAACCTCTGACTCTCACAAAAAGTGCCAAGGGAAGTTTTATGCCCAGGCAGAGCAAAGAGAATCTTGTCTTGTAAGGGTTCATTTAAAAAGACCTCCATGGAATTCTATGTATCCCCTTTGGCAGGCGAAGGGCTAGACCTCCCTTGCAAGATTCACACATGACATTCTGGGCATGAAGTCTGGGCATTTCGAACCTGATGCTAACACCACGCTGCTTTCCCCTCCAGCGCTGGTTGTAGCAAAGTGCTGGTGTTTTTTAACCATCTACAGTCGATCTGATTTACTAATCGGTTTCCTTTGTGACATAAGAATATGGTTTAAAATACTTGAATTCGCATTTTTGTCCACATCCTTCCTGTGCTCACAGCAGCCCCACCCATTCAGAACTTATTTTCTCCTGACGCTAAGGGACAGATCCTATATTTAGGTGCCCAACTCCCATTGAAATTAATGGGAGTTAGGCTCCTAAATACCTTTGAGGAGCTGGAGTTAAATATTCAATGACTTCCCGCATCCCCTCCTCTAGTTTTCTCTTGTTTGCATTACTATTTGTTAAACGTATTACTGCAGGCTCACTCTGTAGCACTGAGGCCTTTAAAAGGTCTGTCTACACTGCAATTAAAAACTCCTGGCTGGCCTGTGCCAGCTGACTTGGGTTACGGGGCTGTTTAATTGTGGTGTAGACGTTCGGGCTCTGGCTGCAGCCTTAGTTCGGGGACCCTCCCACCTTGCAGGGTCCTAGAGCCTGGGCTCTGGTCTGAGCCTGATCTTCTACACAGCAATTAAACAGCCCTTAGCCCAAGCCCCATGAGCTGGGTCAGCTGGCCTGGGTCAGCGGTGGGTTTGTAATTGCTGTGTAGGCAGACCCTATGTGTTTCCCCAGCTCCAGCTCTGACTCTGCCCAAACTGGCAGCGATTCGGAGATTGAAATTGGAGAGAAGACTATGGAAAGGTCTCTTGTTTGTGGCAGGCCTTTCTTCCCTTCCGCCTGGGCCCTGCAGTGGATTCAGCTATGTTCTGTGCATGCATCTTCAGCAACATTTGCATCAGGAAAGGAAAATAAAAGTTCCATCAATGGTTCAATCATATTTGATGCACAAAGTTAATGCGTCTAGGCAAATAAATGTTCACACAGTCCATTACCTCAGCATCCCGGGCCCGGTTCTGCCCAGCCTTACACCTTGTGTAGTCATTTACACCTGTGTCTTCTTCTTTGGTAGCATTTTACATCCAGGGTACATAGTTGTAAATGACAGCACAAAGCACAGGGGAGAATCAGGTCCAGTGTACCCAAACCCCAGCACTTTCAGTGCCATGTTCGATGTGAATCCATGGCTGGCTACCAAAGTCAAACTCCAGCTGCATTCTGAAGTACTGCTTCTGAGGTAGTAGTTTCTCTTGCAATCTATACAGGAAACATCTTCATGCCTTCTTCCCTTGTAGCATCTTTGGAGATTACACATACTGTTCACATCTAGGTCGGTCAGTTCTTCATCTAACCAGTGTCCTGAGCAGTACTGGAATTCAGCTACCTAGCCTTGGAGAGGGAGGTCTCTTATACTGGGTCCAACTTCACATCACAAGAGGCGCTGGGGCTGTTTCTAGACCTGACTCTAGCCAGCCCTCACAAGAGATATTGAAACCATAGTAAGCGATCTAGGCGTAGCCCTCTGGGACCCTGGTATAATTCCAGCATTTGTCAAGGGCTCTTACTGAAAACAACTAATGACAGCAAAAGGCCACCTCTTTCCTACACATTTGCTGTGTATACAGGAAAAATTGTTTTAAGAGCTGCCTCCCCTGTGTAACACTTTTCTTCAAGGCACAGTTTCCTCTATGCTATGTCCAAGTCTGGAGAAACAGGCAGGAAATGAAGGTATGTGCGTTCAAAATACCTGAGTCAGCATCAAAAGTTCAAAGACTATGGCCTTACATGTCTGATTCCTTTTTTTCAGGTGGATAGTAGCTGGCACATAAGCCAAGAGCAACAACCCAGCTGAGGGCTTTGACACATTCCTGGAAGAAAGGAAAATAGTGAATGAATTCTGAACAGAAATGATCTATAATCAAAGCCACTCTCAAGATGCCAGCATCCTAGGCCCTGACATAACAAAGCTCTTAAACACATGCTTGACTTTAAGCCCATGCTTAAGTCCCATTGAAGTTCAAATAAATCCATCATGGGGAAGCAAAAGCATATACAATATAGTAACGCAAGCGTGTTAGTAATGCATAGAGTAACATAGCAATCACTGGGAGTACTCACAAGCTTAAAGTTAAGCATGCGCTTAAGTGCTTCGTTGGATCAGGATCCATACCATAGACAGGAGCATGCAGAGCTGTACGGACACAATGGGAACCTGCACTTCCAGTGAGCCGAGGTGGCTTGTAGCTGCTGCTAAGATGGGATGGGCAAACCGCAAATGGCTTGGCACCTTGGTTTCTGCACTTCTGTTCTGGAAATGTCATGGGAGCAGGTTTTTCCCGAAAGTTTCCTGGTACTTCCCAACTTCAGATGGGCCAAGATACCTTTCTATATTCTGATGACATTTCACTATCTCTGCTCTCAGGCCAGACACACACCAGGAGACACAGTGGGCAGCACAAACAAATCAACCAAAAAAGGGAAGAAAATTTCTTCAAGTCTCAGAAAAGTTTCTCCTCCAGGTCACTTTTGGGGCAAAGGTTTGGGGTGGTTTTCCTGAGAGCCAAGGGAATCAATAATGATCAAATAAGTAGCCCTCTGAACCTTTAACTATTAGTGTAACATTTGGACTGAATGATCTTAAAGGTTCTGAATTGTTTGGATCTGATGTTTTTTCCTAGTTTCCAGCCAGGAATACAAGCAGAGGTCCCAGCACTCTCCTGGGGAATTCTGTTCTGAAGCCCCATTTTACACACTCAGGCAGTTTGGAGAAAGAAGCATCGTAATTTTTTGACATTATCCATACCCAAACTGTGAACTCCAGACATTCCCCCATCCCCGGTGCTCATTTCATCCAAACTGATTTACAGAAACAAACACTTCTACAGTGCCTCCCATCCCAATGGGTGCCAAAGCATTTTGGCCCAGAGCCTTGAAGGTATTAAGGCTCCTAACTTCCACAGATTTCAGTGAAGTTAAGAAGCCAAATACCTTTGAGCATCTAGGCCTTTTCCCCTCCTTTCTTATTTTCTCTCTTATCATAGAACATCAGGATAGGAAGGGACCTCAGGAGATCATCTAGTCTAACCCCCTGCTCAAAGCAGGATCAATCCCCAATTTTTGCCCCATCCTTAAATGGCCCCCTCAAGGATTGAAGTCATAACCCTGGGTTTAGCAGGCCAATGCTCAAACTACTAAGATATCCCTCCCACCTTATCTTTATGTTCTAAGCATTATTAGATAACGGTGTGATAATTCCACATGAAAGTGTAAAGCAGTGATCGTGGATTAGAATGATACCTCACTAGGATAAACAACTTCAAAAGGAAATTCAGGGCTGTGGCTTCCTTATCTAAGTCATGTTTAAAGATGCAAAATTCCATTCACAAAGCTTAAATTGGTGACTGGATTTTCAGAGGAACTCAGCACATTGGGTGTATGTCTGGTACTGAGCTCTATTGAAAACCTGATGCTGATGCTGATGCATCTGATGAAGTGAGCTGTAGCTCACGAAAGCTCATGCTCAAATAAATTGGTTAGTCTCTAAGGTGCCACAAGTACTCCTTTTCTTTTTGCGAATACAGACTAACACGGCTGTTCCTCTGAAACCTGATGCTGAGTGCGGGTGCTGAGCACCTGGATATCTGGCTCTGAGCTCTTCGGAAAATTTGACACTGTTAGTAGCTGGAATATCACAAAATTTTCCAGGTGATTAAAAATCTATACTTACATTCTTCTCTTTTTCCTTCCCTTTCAAGCACACTCAAGGACCTGCTTTTGCTTCATTGCAGGTAAATCTTTTAAAAAAAAAAGACAATGAATTAATAATTGAGATCATTTACAGCTAATTTCTATTATTTACTTGCACATGTTTATAATGGCCACGACAAGGGAATAGCCAGACAAACAAGTATGATGCATCGTGTCATTTGCTTAAAGATGCAAAAGAACCTGAGTGGAATCCTGAAGTCAGTGGGAGTTTAGCCACTGATTTTAATGGGACCAAGATTTCACCCCTGTCTTGAAGACCCTGAGAAATTGTGTCTGGTGTGGTGTGTTCTTCAAAGTAACTCTGCTTCATTTTGCGCAGATTTGTGCTCCAAAACAGACACACCAACAAGCATTCAGCTTCCTCTCACCTATTAAATCTATCACAGCTACAGTCTCTCTGCTTTACTCACATGTACCATGCATGAAACTGACTGCTTCTATGAGAAATTAATCAGGGAGTATGTAATGGGTTAATCCCTCCTTAAAACTCACTTCTTCTGGGAGGACTGTACATTATGGCTTCACTCATCTCTTCACTCACAGTGTCTCTATGCCTTTGTGCCCTTGAAATGCTGCCCTGTGTACTTCAGTTGTCTGATTCACAGTGCAAAGTCTTCCAGCAGGTGCCTTGTATTTCTCAGGTGTTTCCCAAAGCGCTGCGTTCTCTGATGGTGCAGTGCCAAGACAAGACAGAATCCTGAAGCCCTCAGTCAGTCCCTACACAGGGAGATCTCCAACTGCAGTTCTGCTTCACTAAGAACTAAATAGCGGAATCAACTTTTCCTGAATTTTGAGTCAGGCAAAACATGTCATTGAAAGTTCTGTTGCTGATCGACAACCCTCTTCTCCCCTATTTCTTTTTAATTAAAAAATTCATTGACAAGTGTTGTGTGCGTGTGTGGGGAGCAGGTTGACTGTCCATAGAGCTGCTTGAAAACATTTGACAATTGAAACATTTTGATGAAATTTCAAAATGTTGCAAATCCAGTAAAAGTTTCCCAGAAAATCCCATGGAAGCATTTTAAACCAGTTCTAGGACTCAATCGGGACTTCGCGGTTTGTTCTGGAAATAAATAGTGTATTAATAATAAAAAATAATAGAAGTAATTATTAATTGTCAGCAATCCCTATGAGCTTATGTTTTCAAAACACCTGTGCTTTTTAGGCCACTGATCAGAAATGGATAGCTAGCCTGTGAATAGAGTTTAAATACTGTGGTGATGGGATTATGTTAGTAGGTAGAAACAGGTAGATTTTGATTACTCTATATAGTCCTTACTGACTCCAGTCGGCTGTAATGGGAGATCTCCATGTTTATGGACTGACTGAGGTATTCAGGATTCAGGCTTAGGTTGGCAGTGCACCCCCAGAAAACATGGTGCTTTGGAAAACACGCGAGAAACAACCATCACACCAGAGTGAAACTAAAAGCTTATTCCAGCGACAGCTCCAGAACTGAGCAAAGATACAATCGAAGTTCCTGTTCTCCGCAAGATGTTACTGGATGTTATTTATGTATAAAAGTAACCAAACTCCAATTTCTTCTGTTCTTTATGAAGGAAAATTCTGATTTTTGTATGTTTACACAGCTAACTTCACTTTGAGTAAAGCTTGTTAGAAAACACACAAAAAATCACATTTTTCTGTTTATCACTGACATTTTATTTACCTGATAAATCTCCCAAAAGCTCTAATTTTAAGATAGGATGAGGGCATTTGAAATCTCAAAACAATTAGGCTACATTAGATTATATTAGATTGAAAAACAATGACTAAGCAAATCAAACTGGAAGCAGGGAAATATAGATTAAATGCTGAGTTTTTAAAGACACGTACTTTTGAAAAGCCCACTAGGTACCATATGCCTTTAAAAACTTTACAAATCTGGCCTTCATTCCCTTCCAGATATTAGCCAATGTCAGGGATTTCCCATACCAAATTAAATTTGGAAGTGACTAACTGGACTTAGCTGTGGTTTTCCCAAGGTGTCTCTTTCCAAAGAGCCAGGTCACTATAACTGCACCAGTTGCTGGCCCAGGCATCTCTGCCAGCTCATCTATTGCTGGCAGAAAACACCCTTTCCCCACCGATGGATAAACAATCTCCTGGATAGCCTGCAGTTTGCATTGTCTGAGCAGACACTTGGATTAGCTAGGGAAAAGCATCCCCAGTGTGAAATGGAAATCTTAGCCTGCTTTAAATCAGTCAGTGACAGTGCACTGGTCTGGGAGGGGGGGAGCCTCTGCAACCATAGCTTTGCAGCCAGAGTGACTGCTTATACCAGGGGTAGGCAACAGGCAGACAACAGGCCAAATCTGGACCCACCAGATGCTTTTGAACAGGCCAGAATCTTTTTATTTAGGTATTATCATTGGGGTTTATTTTTATTTTCTCTGGAGTCCGGACCTTGACTATACCTTGACCAAGAAATTTGGACCGTAACAAAAAATCACTGACTACCCCTGGCTTAAACTCTTCCAGGAGTGGAGCCCGTTCTGGCTGAACCCCACCCTTCTGCCCTTCTCCAAGTATCAGCCCCCAGTACTTTGCACTGACCTCCTGCGAACCCAGGGGCTCGCCCTGGCCCAGCTCTAACCCCACCCCGCCTTGCAGGCTCTGGTACCTACTCTTCCAGCTGCGGACAGAGCGTGGTCTGGGTGCCCTGCAGCTGGGCCTCCCTAAGGGGACGCGGGGCGCTGCCATGCCCATTGCTTTGGCGGTAGGAGAGGTTGGTCTCCTCAGTCCTGCAACTGGAGCGGCTGCTGCTGCTGCTGCTGCTGGTCCCCCCGTCCTCCTCCCCCGCCTGCCCGGGCTGCTGCCCCTGCGCCACCGGCTTGCTGTCCGCCGGGGCGGCCCCCTGGGAGGCGAAGGCGCAGGGGCACCGGCGGAGGTCCCTGGAGACGGCGTGCAGCCGGCGGTCCGCGCTCCGGGGGCAGCAGAGCAGCCTCTTGAAGGCGCTCCTGAAGTCGGGGCTGCGGCAGTAGATGATGGGGTTGAAGGCGGAGTTGACGTAGCCCAGCCAGTTGAGGAGGAGGAAGACCTGGCCGGGGATGAGGGACCTGTAGAAGACCTTGACGATGTTGGCCACGAAGAAGGGCAGCCAGCAGAGGGTGAAGGTGCCCATGATGATGCCCAGGGTCTTGAGCGCCTTGTGCTCCCTCATGGCCAGGAGGCGGGAGGGTCTCCTCCGGCGGGGGCCCTTGGCGCCGGGGGCCCCCGGGAGGAAGCGGTCCTTGTCCCGCTGGATGAGGCGGATCTGCCGGCTGGCCACGGCGAAGACCCGCGCGTAGACGAAGAGCATGACGAGCAGCGGCACGTAGAAGGAGATGATGGAGGAGAGGATGGCGTAGGGCATGTTGGTGACGAAGTCGCAGCAGCGCGGGTTCTGGTAGCAGCGTAGCGCGTCCTCGTCCGCCCCGTCCCGCCACCAGTGGTTCATGATGGGCAGGAAGGAGACGAAGGCGGAGATGGCCCAGACCAGGCACACCACGGCCCGCGCCCGGCCCTTGGTCACCAGCGCCTCGTACTGCAGCGGCGAGGTGATGGCCAGGTACCGGTCCACGGCGATGGCGCACAGGGTCTCGATGCTGGCGGTGACGCACAGCACGTCCAGCGAGGTCCACAGCTCGCACACCGTGGTGCCGTAGGGCCAGTGGCCGCTCAGCACAATGGTGGCCCCCGGCGGCACCACCAGCAGGCCCATGATCAGGTCGGCGCAGGCCAGCGAGGTGACGAACACGTTGGTCATGGTCTGCAGGCGCGGCGTCTTGGCGATGGCCAGGATCACCAGCAGGTTGCCGGCCGCGATCACCAGCACCGTGAGGCTCAGGGCCGCCCCGACGGCCCACTGCTGGCTCAGGCTGGCGGCCCCCGTGCAGTTGGTGGCGGCGTCCCCCCAGGAGGTGGCGTTGCCCTGGGGCCAAGGAGCCATCTCGGCGGGGGAGCTCCGTGCGCCCTTCTCCCCGCGCCTCTCCGTGCGCCCCTGTCTCCGCGCCTTGCGCGCTCCGCGGGGCGCCAGCTTTTAAGGGCAAACTCCCCGCAGCGCTCGGAGTTTCGGCTCCATACAGGGCGTGTGAGCGGCTTCTTGAGCCTGTGCCATCTCCCCGGGAGCACTGGAAAGGCTGCCGCAGGGGATGGGCTCCCCCCCTACACACACCCCGGTGGCACTGCTCAGAGGAGGAGCCCTTAAAGGCACAGGACGCAGCTGGGCTGCCCCACTCGTAGGATCGCTGAAAAAAAGAAAAGCAGCCTGGAACACGCCCCTTTGCATCTCTCTTTCCGGGTCTGTTCCCTTCCCTCCTTTCTCTGCCGCCCCCGCGGGGATTTTAAATACTTGGATCCCAACATTTCCCCCTCCCGCTCCCCTGCACCTTCTCCTGGGGCCGAGAATTTAACTCTCCTGCGTCCCTTCATCTCTCCACAGCCCCCTGCTGTTTGCCCATTGCAGAGAGGGCACTTTCCGGCAGGAGAAGAACCCGTGTCCCAGCACAAGAGCAGGCTCTCCCCTCGGGCACTTTGCGCCTGGCAGATCTGCCCAGCCGCACAACAGCTGCAAAACAGCAAACTCCCTCTTCCTGGGGGGTTACCCCTGAAGCTAAAGCCCATCACATAAACTGCAGCCGTCTGCCGGTCAAACACACAGGCGCACCCCCCCACACACACACGAACGCTCCCCCTTGTCCGCCCAATTAGCACGTGTGGAGAAGAGGGAACAACCCAAGGATGCCAGGCACAGACACTGGGACGGAGGTGACGCGTTTGCCTCCAGCGAGAACGACACTTTTCTGCATTTGGCTCGAGGCGTTTATTCCCCTCCAGTCCGCGGAAAGTGTCAATTTCCTTCCCCGCTCCATCGAACACAAATCGGTTCGAAAAGGTGGGAGTCAGGGACACCAAAATGCTCCCCGAGGAGCGACACTTCTCTCATTGCATAGGAAGAAACCTTGTCTTTCTTTCTCCCGTCTCCTCTGCAGCCAGGGAGCTACTCTCACACATAGCCTTGTGGGCACAGAGATGGTATCGCGCCTCATCTCTCGTCCCACTTTACAAGGCGTTTGGACACGGACACGGTCTCCGGTACGCACTGCCAGCTCCACTGGCGGACACACGGGCCCATTAGTCTCTTTCCTCTGCCGGGCGCTAGAACTTCGCGGGGAAGGCCTGAGACAGGGAATGACAGCGGAGTTCAGGACAAAACTACACCCGTTACGCACGTCTGAGGCGCTGCGGGCGAGCGAGTTGTTCCTCCGAGGTGTGTAAAGGGAAGGGGGCAGAGGCCGGCTCGGGGCGGGGGCCGTTTGGTTCTCTGCTGGGGGTGGGGGGCTTTTCACTTGGCAGGAATGAAACTATTCCACGAGTTGCGCTGAGATGTATTCCCAGCCCACAGGACGCGTTATAAAGGGGGACCCTGGCTGGTAGAGACGCGTCTGCGTTTATATTTTATCCTTGCAGGACACGAAACGCTCCTTCATTCCCATGACGGGCAGCGGCGGCTCCTACACTGCTCAGCCCCGGGAAATGTCCTGTCCCAGGCGCTTCCCCGCACAGGGACTGGCCCTGGGTGCAGAGGCCACCGCCCCCGGGAATGTGTCCATGTGTTCCCGCGGCAGACCTGCTCCCTCTGGTGCAGATGTTCCCATGCAGGGTCAGGAGCTCTGTGCCCCTGGCAGTCAGGGATGCAGGTCACCAGGGGTCCTGAGTCAAGGGCGGCAGGACTGGACCCTTGTCTTCCCCACTGTGCACTCTCTGGCTCTCATGTAAAGCCCAACCAAGTCAATGGGGGAGGGGCTTTCCATTGAGTCCAATGTGCTTTGGATCAGGAGCATCCTGCATCCCTCCCCTCCATAGTGTACCCAAAGACAGCATCTGCTGACGGAGACAGTACCAAAGTTATGTGAGTGCTTTGGGGCCATTTTGGAGCTTCCCTCCCCCTTCTCCACAGTCCCTTTCCAGGCTCCACCCTACCCTGGCCTGCTAACCCAGGATCTTCCATCTCAGCACAGGTCCATACTGGCCCAGATGTATGAGAGCGCTCACCTTGTGGTGCTGGGAACCATCCCCTTACCCACATAGTCTGTGCACAGTAACTATGATGGGAAAAAGATATGGACATCATAGGCTGTACCCCCAAACCTCCACTGCAACCAGGGCAGGAGCTGGCTACTTGGCACCTCCAGCTACTCAATGAAACAGAAGCACAAAAACAGGAAAGACCCAAAAATAAGAAGCAAGAAACATCTGAGGCCCACTAGCCCCTGGATTCTTCTCCCAGCAAGGTGCATTCTACCCAGCCTTCGGAGGCTGGTTTTGGGGTGTAGTTCAGAGAACTGAATGTTATCAGATCCCCAGCTGGGGTAAATTGGTGTAGTTCTATAATTTATATTAGCTGAGGATCTGGTCCCTGGCCTCAGAATTTCTCTCAGTTTTGTTGTTTCTGATACCAGACACTCCAGGGTCTAGTCCGTTTGCGGGCACTCTGGGCTAGATCCATGGCCATTGTACTTTGATGGAGCACCCCTGGCTTGGAGACTTACACCAGCAGGGGATCTGGAGAGTTTTCTCTCACCAAATGTCAGACTTCTCTGACAAGACCTGTGCTGAAGGATGCTGCATCTCAGTGCTGTTATCAGGTACAGATTACTTACTTGGGTATTAATTTGCTAGGAACATTGCTCTGTTTGCCTGCCTGAGCTGCTCAAAGCAAGCCCCTTGCTGGGCTCATGCTTTGGCAGCTGGGACAAGTACAGTAGAACCTCAGAGTTACAAACCCCTTGGGAATGGAGGTTGTTCATAACTCTGAAATGTTCACACAACGTTACGGTTCTTCTTTCAAAAGTTTACAACTGAACGTTGACTTCATACAGCTTTGAAACTTCACTATGCAGAAGAAAAATGCTACTTTCACCTTGTGTTTTAGTAGTTTATGTTTAACACGGTACTGTACTGTATTGTATTTGCTTTTTTTTTTTTTTTTTTTGGTCTCTGCTGCTGCTTGATTGCATCCTTGCAGTTCCAAATGAGGTGTGTGGTTGACTGGTCAGTCCTTGGGTTTTTTTCTCAAATTATTTGCTTCAGTTGAATCTTGGATTTATTATTCATGCTGTGCTTGGCCAGTTAAGTCATAGCAAGTTGCTTCTGCTTTCTGATTGGATAAATGAAATGTACATAGGAGGAGAGAAATCAAAGCATTTTCAAAGAAGACATGCAAACAATTCTGGTGAACAAGTTCAGAAGACTTTTACTCTCTGCAAACCAAAAGCACTTGTAGGAATGCCTGTTGGAAATAAACCTGAAGGCATCTGGTATAGTGGATGAGACACTGGAATGGGAGTCAGGAGATTTAGTTGAGGTTGGTCCGGCTTTGAGCAGGGGGTTGGACTAGATGACCTCCTGAGGTCTCTTCCAACCCTAATCGTCTATGATTTGGATTTGACTCCTGGATTTGACCTGGGTGACTGGGGACAACTCACTTTATGGCTCCGTGCCTCTGTTTCACCTCCCATTCTGTGTCTATCTGGAGTGTGGTGAGTTCGTCAGGGCAGGGACTGTTTGTCACTACGTGTTTGTGCAGCACCCAACACAACTGGGCCCTATTCTCACGTGGTGGCCACTAGGCACTAGTGCTGTAATTTAAATAATAAAAAATGTTTGCAAAAGGGAACCCTCGTTTTGTATCTGTACAAACGTTCCCAGACATATTCTCACAGCGCTAATGCTGGCTGCTTGCTTTCTCCTGTGACTTCCTGCTGCCAGTGATTTCACCCTCCCTCTGTTTAGTCCAACAGCAGCAAAACATAGATGCTGGTACATTTTGAGTGCTCTATAATAAAAGCTATCCTTAGTCCTGATTTCAGACTCAGGTCCCACACGCTTTGAGTTAACATCCCCCGGTATCATTAAAACTGTCACCTTCTCCTGTGCTCCGTTTTAGCAGCTGAGCCACATCTCTTTGCACAGAGCTCTTCAGTCCCCTTTGAGATCGCCTCGCTTGGATGGGATTAAGGAAACTGTTTCTTGTGGTGTCAGCAAATATCTGTGGCTGGTCTAACCCCAGTCCCATTGAACCCAGATAAGCTCATCATTTGCACATTGCTGCCTTGAGGGTTGCACACGCATCCTCACGAAAGCTCTTGGGGGTACTTGAGACCAAAGCCAGCTACAAATCAACCCAGGAACTGCCTGAATGCTGACTTCATTGTGGATCCTCTTTAGCAATATTAGCGCATGATAAATGGAGTGTGTCTGGGCTGTATTCTTGTATGTATGTATTCAATACCAGATGTTTCAGTCTGAACAAAAGCTTTGGATCCTAATGTCTTGCAGTGTAATCTTTCTCCATCTGCTATGCAACACAGGGGTACTATCGCTGTCGTCTCATGGCTTCCTTGCACTCCCCTGTCTGTCTGTATCCAGTTGTTGTTTCTTGTCTTATGTTTAGATTGGACGGTCTTTGGGGCAGGGACCTTTTTTGTTCTGTGTTGGTACAGCACCCAGCACAGTGGGGTCCTGATCCATGACTGGTGCTCCTGCGAACCACAGTAATACAAATCAACTAATTATAATAATCTCAGCATTGTAATATGACAGCAGTTAGCCTCTTAAACACACACGCACACACTAGAGCTGGTTGGACCATTTCTGGCTAAACATTTCTTCATAGAAAAAAATATTGTTTTGTCAAAGCTGAAATGTTTCAGAAGGATGTATCAGTTTCCATAAAGTTCTTCATCAAGAAGATTTCTGAAGTCTCAAATCACTGCCAGAGAGAGAGAGAAAGAGAGAGACCCGAATCCAATACCTGGCCTTGTCAACACAATTCCATTTTGCAAAGCGTTTTAAAGATCTCATCTCATTCCAGTGCAAAACGAAAACAAGTTTTGGAACCTCAAAAGTTGTCATGAAATGGAATTGGTTTTCTCAGGTAGGCTGTATAAATACTGTGTGGGAGAAGCAGTTAAATAATATTTTCCAAGCTGCAGAGAAAGATGCAAACTGCACAGTCTGTGGCTCATCTTTACCACTTAAAATGTGTATTTGTCCTTATCCTTCACAGAGATAAAATAATTTGCATGAGAGATCAGAATCCTACTGCTGCTTCTGGAACACCTGTCACTAATGGGTCTCACCCACTTTACCCAGGTGGGTCGGTATCTTCATCTCAGACTTGTAGCTGGAGAACCTGATGCACTACAG